ATATATATATATCAATAAACTAAAGTAATCTAATAAATAAATTAAAGTTTGATATATTTGTGATGAGTAAATACATACATAAACTTATAACTTATTTGTTTCATGCAACTTCAGATATTTTCTCTTAAAGTTTTGATTGCATTGCAGTTTTTGAAAATTTTTTAAATAATAATAATAGCATAAAGGCGTTGTCAATTATGAGTAATAAAAATACAAATCAGATATATTCGAGTGGTTATACACAAAAAGTTGTATATTTATACTGCATAATTTATAAATATAGTGACTTATAATCTTTTCAAGTAATTAACACTTTTATAAACAGTTCGTACATATTGATATGAGTATTTATTCCACGGGTTATTTTGACGCGAAATAAATGATTACCTGGACGAGAAGTTTTCATAAAGGAGCTGCACCAAGATTTAACATCGATAGTTCGACTATTTGGAAATTTGTTGCACTTGGAAAAATTGTTTAAGGGTGGGAACTTTGGTTCATAATGTTACGTGGCTTTAAGGCTTATTCTTGATAAATTATACTTCATATATAAACTGAACTTTAACCTTAATAGTCTAGTAGTAGTAAAAAGTAGCATAATTTGTGTTTCATCTACTTCCTGTATGCTTCAGATTACAAATGTTGTATATTTAATTAGTATATTTATTTCCTTAAATATACACAGTATGACTTGATAGTTTTTTAGTATCAAATGTTTAGTTCTTGCCACATTTGTTGGGATGTTTCTTTGCTTTCAGATGTAAATACTGTAATTGTTGCAAACTAAATTCCTTTCACTAGTTAGCAAGTTCGTTCTTGTTAATTGATATATTTTCCTACTTTTTCATAGAATTTTCTGAGCGTCATTTCTTGTTGCTGTATTACTGAAATTAGTGACAAATCGTGGAAAAGGATTTTTAGTCATGCTTGGAGAATTTGGTTTCTTTTCAATATTTTATTTCGTTATGCGTGTTGTTAAAACTGATGAGGATATTGTGGCTTGCAATTCACTTGTAAAATTAAAAAATAATAAAGAAGGTAAACAGAGTGTTATTTATAGTTTTTCGATCAGTGTAGTATCTTAAGCAAAAAGTTGTTTGGCTTTGGTGCGAAACATAATTTTGTCTGTAATTTATTTATTTAGCTTATGGTAAATCTGTAATTATTTTTATTATTTTTATAGTTTAACATGAATGCAAATTGTATTGAATTTTAGATGTTCGTCTTCATTCACATGACGTAAAATATGGGACAGGCAGTGGCCAGCAGTCAGTAACTGCAGTGGAAAATGGAGATGATGTTAATTCATACTGGTTGCTCCTTAGTAAGATTTATATATCACTTTTAGATAAAACATTTTCTTCAATAAAATATCTTAACAATCTTGTTTTCATAATACTTTTAATTTTCTCATAATAATTTTGACATTTAGAGACGAAAGGAAAGTGTAAACGAGGTGAACCAATAAGTTGTGGCCAAACTATCCGCCTTAAACATCATAAGACCAGTTGTTATCTTCACAGTCACTTGTTTGATGCACCAATTACAAGAGGAAACCAGGTTATTGCAATTTTTCAATTGTTTTGAGTTTCTCCGGCAAGTGTAAAAGTGTAGTACTTTTTTTAGAAAATGCGTATTGTATTTTGGAAAATAATATTCAATTCAGGAGGTATCATGTTATGGAAAAGATGAGGAGAGCGATTCTGGAGATCATTGGAAGGTTTTATGTGATAGTGAAGTATGGTTACATAATGTTCCTGTAAGGTTAAAACATGAAGATACTGGTTTGTTCATTCACATTCTCTCTGTTATCTTGTTCCAATTCACCACAGTTTATTTTTTATATTACCATTCTTAGTACGATTTGTAATAAAAATAAGTTTGATGAGAGAGTGATTATTTTTTTTTGCACGCTCACTATTTTTCGTTTTGAATTCGTATTTCAGGGAAATTTTTGGGAGTAAGTGGTCAGACATTCGGTCGGCCAATATCTGGCCAGTATGAGGTAGTAGGTACTACTTCATCTCAAAACTCAGCTCTATGGGCAGCGGTAGAAGGCGTTTTTATGGTAAGGTCGGACAAGTCAGAATAAATCACTGTTCCGGCTTTTGTACTCATTTATTGGAGCAGCATATTTCATTAATTCACTATTGGTTTCATCGTCTTTGGTTTATAAATCACATGATTATTATTTATTTGCATATTTACGCATCTTTTTATGTGCTAATTAATAACCTGGCTTTGTATATGTGCTAGTTTGCGGATGTTAAACAGCTTTCAAGCTTTAACTTTTTCTCTACTTATTAACTATGAAGGTTTTGTTTTGGTAAATTGCCGTAACTTAATGGCCTATGTTTCTAGTATATTCAGTACAAAACTAGCACATTCAGATTTTTTTTTTGGATTGAAAGTGTGCAGTGAAAAAAACTATTCTTCATCAAATCTATCAAATTTTTGTAGATAAGTTTTCTGAAACTGCATCTAAAGCTTCAAAGTTGTGATTCTGTTTGTTCTAAATATGGTAGTTCTTAAGCGAAAGAGTTTTTTGATACTTTTTTAAAATTTGAAATTGCAGCACCTTTCATATCTTCAGTATCCTCAAATTCTTTGTATTTTTCGAAAGAAAAGTTCCCGAAAATCCCATTTGACTTACTAAATCGTGATAGATTTCCGGTTTTCTCTTTTTTCAGGTAGCATCGTCTTCCTTCTCGACTACAGTTAGAAGTCCAACTACCATGAAAACAAGTGATGTGAACAAAAATATTCCTTGTACAAATAATAATTACTTTTCATTCTTACCTTCTATTTTTATTGTTGGGGTCTTTACAGTCATGTTTTTGTGGAAGCGCTTAACTTAATTTTTGTGGCGCTAGTAATAGAGATGAATAGTTTGAGCGTTCAAAAGATTGTTTTACATCACAGTAGATTCTTTTAACAGTTCGCAAATTAATGTACCATCTTTCTTGTTGGTTTATTCTGGTCCTTTTTCATTGTAAATCTCTTGGTTTTTACTTGGGTTTGGTTGTACTTTTATTTAGTTTCATATTTATTAATGAGATTAGCAATTCGGTTTTGAGATTATTTAACCTATTAAGCATGCGATCATCTCTACCTACTAAGCAAGTAGAATCACCTTTGTTTTAAGTATTTTACATAAAAGTTGTAAGATTTCTAATACATATAGTGTATTTGATGCAACCAAAATAAAGTTCATTGGAGTTTGGTACTGATAGGTGGCACAAAGAGTTCTTATTCCTTCAGTATCTTACTATTAATCTGATTTTTTTGGTTGTTGCAAAGATTGTTTAACTGTTGGGTGCATTATCATTTTTTAGTGAATATAAAATTTTTGGATGTAACGTTCAAGGCTTTCCTTTTTTCTTCGAGATATGATCATTCTTCAAATTCCTCTTACTACTGAACGTGGGAATTGGTTACACCGGATGATGAAACCTATGATTTCTCCAATCAAATCGTGGCTATAAATTGTATTTGCAGACCGGCTGCGAAGAAATGGCAACATTTTCGGGGATTACCACGCCGAGCAGTGTGCAGTTTGTGCAGATTGATAGTCTGGTATAATTATCAAATATTTGGATTGACAGGGATTTATTTATTCCGTGTTCTTCCTTGAGACGGTTTTTGAAATTTGGCTTGCATTTTACGCCTGGTTCACAGTCTTAAAAAAGTATTCTAAATATGTTCCAGGTTGTTATGAAGATTGTTAAGCATGTTGATTCGGAAATGTACGCAGGCTTAAATGAGGTGGCGGGTGAAGCATGCCGGGGCTTATTGACTGGTTAATTTTTTTTAAGTGCGAAAAGTTGGTCAAATTGTTTGTTACATACTAAACCTCTGCTGAAAGCAGAACTGTGTGTTGAGAGAGTTCGTGCAGTTTCAATGAAAAAAATCTGGAATTCATTCAGTGTTATTAAAGGTTTGGTGTCATCTGATGATCGACGCTTAGAAATCACGAATTGTTTTCCTACAGCTCGAGCTGAGCCTGCTCTTGATGGTGATGAAACTGCGCAAAATAATGCATATCATGAGGAGCAAAAGCAGGTCGAAACGTTGGATATGCTTCGAAAATTCAGGTTTCATTTTTTTCTTTTAAGTAAATATTTCTATTTAATTCTTACTAAATTTGTCTCGTAGAAGTACTTCTTTTCAAATTCACACCTTAATAGTTTTCGGTTCCTTCATAATCGTTCTTAAATCACAGAGATATGAATATCGACTACGAATTAGTTGGATTTTACCAGGCTCATCCTTTTGGAGCCTGTTTTGCTCAAGAAATGGTAGATTCACTAGTCGATTATCAATCAAGCGTACCAGACGGAGTAGTCCTCATTTATGGTACAAAATTGAATGTATTCCTAATATTTTGTAAAGAAGTCCAAGAAATTCTTTATTTGTATTTTATGGATATTTTTGATGCGTTACAGATCCTGTAAAAACTCGCCAGGGGCAATTAAGTATACGTGCCTATCGTTTATCTACAAAAGCTTTGGAAATGAGTTTAGAAGGGGATTGGTCACCGGAAAGGTAGGTTATATTTTTCGATACTTGAACCCAATCTTTGTATTTGAAATGTTTTTCTGATTTAAGCTGAAGGCTTTATTAGCATTCTCTGAACAGATTTGAATAATTTTACAGCACTAAAGCAGTCGGTCTAACATACGAAAATATGCTGGAAGAGTTGCCCGTAGTTATCAAAAATAGTCATTTGGTAAATGTGATGTTGGCTGAGCTGGCATTAGAAGGTGGTCGGGTGATGCGACAATCATCTTCTCATCTTGAACTTGGAACTCGAAGGTATTTTTTTTTCAGAAAAATCAAAAATGCTGAGATCATTTTGTAATTTACTCTGGATATATAGAAACTTATTTTTTTCGCAGATCACTTGAAAAATGCCTTCGTTCGCTGATGAGTGATGTGGATGATCTCAACCGAACAGTTATGGCTTACACAAAATATGTAGCTGACAAACAACGTCATGATTTAACTGTCTATAATGCAACGCAAAAAAGGGTTGGCACTTTTTTAAATGTTTCACGTCTGATTTTCTATGATGTCAGTTTCTGTGATGCGTTGTTTTCAGCAAGCAGAAAATGAGCAAAGAGAAGCTCGCGGAGAACCACCACTTTCATTTGATGACATAAAGAAGATAAAACCTCCACAGTTAGCAACGAAGTGTGGAATGTTGGAAAGCTTTTTATGTTCTTCTGATGCCAACGCCCATGCTGATTATGCTGCAGAAGTTTGTTTGAGCTTTATCTTTTTCAATTATCTGTTATATACCATGCTCAATATTCTAACCGAAAAAATCACGCTAGTGTTGCCCCGTTTTTAGTCGAGTTTTGGTCACTTATAACTGATTTTATCATTTGTTGATGTCAGTTAGTTATGAAAATTCTAATTTTTCAGGTTACGGGAGAGAATATTGCAAAGCTCTTTTTGGCAGAAGCTGTAGCTGATTCACATAGTTTGAAAGATCGTGTTGGAGCGGGAATTATCCGATAAAACAAAATATTTCATTATGCTTCTCAGTTATGATCATTTTGAAGTACTGAAATCTATTATGAGGTTAGAGCATGTGATGTAATTTTTAGTCTCGCAAGTTTAGTAGAGAAATTTCTCACTGAATTTCTTTGCATCTGTCATTGTAGTAAGTGTAATTATAATGGTAAATGTTGCTGCTTGATGACATTGGTGTTGAGGAGATGAGGTGTTGCGTTCATTCAAAGGAACTTACTAGTATGCTCTGGTTGATTAAGTTAGTAGTTTTTTGTTGATTGTCCAAATTTTCAGTAATCGCCGTTTTTATTCTGTAAAGTAATTTTCTAAATTCTAAAATGAGTTATTCAGCTTTTTTTTTGCAAGTAATTAACTTTTTAATAAATATTAGAAATAAAACTGTACTTTCAATACTATGCATTTGGATTTAAATGCGTTTCGATTCCTCATCCTTTAATCTTTTATTTTGTTTTGCGGAATTAAACATCTATCTGTCTCTTCTTTTAGTCTTTTTCTTCTCTCCAGCAACTTGATTTTTCTGACACTTTTTGTTTCTCATATGCTTGTTTTGATTTATTTTTGACGGAAAAAGGATATGCAGCTATGAAGTATCTCAGCAAACTTTTCTCATATCTTAACTTTTTTCTGATTTTTCAGCTATGCGCACTGCAAGAGAAAATTTTAATTGATTAAGGATATGCAAAATTTTTTTAAAAGGTTTTTGAAAAGTTAGTATTAATCATTTTTGTGGTTATATTATATATGGCGGTGAGAATATACTTTAGGAGTTTTAATTTAATTAACACACTTTGGAGTTCATAAATTTTCTTGCCTTTTATAGACTAAAAAGTAACTCTCAACTGCTATATGATTTGAATAAAATTACACACTTTTCATAATTGGCAGCTTTATCATATCACGTATGTATATGTTTTAAATTAACGCATTTTACATTAATGATGCAAGGAGAATTTATATTCTTCTCAAGAGAATTCTGGAAATAAGATGAGTAGTTTTGTGATTTCTATATTTTTATAGACTTTGTATTTGAAAGTATTAATTGGTTTTAACAATAAAATAAACGCAATGATTTCTGAACTTTGATTTTCCTATCTTAAAATGTTCTTGAAATTTCATTACGCAATTTTTTCTTCGCTTGTTTACATTATATCCACTGTTGACATTATTCCGTGCAAAATATGGAAAGCAACAAAAATGCCATCGGAAAGAAGTATATATATATAGAAGTATGTTCTGATGAGTATATATATATAACCAATATTGCACAGAGATTAAACTTCGCGTTATTCTGGCGTTGGTACTCTTCTTCCCGCGCTTAGTCCTGTTATGTTTGTCTTCAGTGTTTTGTCCTCATCAAAATGCATGTCAGTGGTGTTGATTGAATGAGTTCAAGCGTCATCTTGAACGTTATAACATATCTCAACGTGATCAGATATAATAAATCTCTTCGCGTTACGTTACTGGAAGTACGTTACTTTCACATCCTACGTCTTCACATACGGAATTATTTCCGTTTTACATTCACTGCCTTCGTGCCGTTTAGTTCGCTCAATTCTCACTGAAATCTTTGCTCGGCGTTTATCGTAGCTTTTACGGGGGGATGCCTAGTCCTGCCTTCCACTATTCAAAGGTATTTATACTCTTTAGCTCCTTCCAGTAGCACCGCCTTATCAGTCCATACCTCGGTATTAGTCGTTGACTTTTTTTTTTGACTCACCTCTAGCCCTAGCATCTGAAAGATCCCCTGGACTTTTTCCACCATAAATTTCATGATATCCTCGTCGGCTGCAAAGATCTTGAGAATCTACAAACAATAGATAATTCGTTACCTGCATCCCTTGATCAGTTAGAACTGCTACCTTTGAACACCTCATATTGAGCTGACCGGAAAACATCCATGCGCAGGACGAATAGCAGCGGAAAAAGGCTCCTCGAGAATTCCTCGCTTTATTTTTCTCTTCATTATAGTTTATCCATTATTTTTCAGCATAACTGAACATCTGGATGTGATGCTTTGTAGTAACTCATGCTGGCATACTGAGTCTTCCAATGCACTTAATCAGATACTCGTTATTAATTGATTCCATGATTCCCCTCATGACAACATCCATTTGTATGAAACCTGCCACAGATTTCATTGTCAACTTATGAAGGTTCGGCATACAAGTTTTTGTTCTGAAATCACTACCTTTGCTTAGAAAATGTTTTGGAATCAAGATGGTTGTTCCTTTATAAAACCATGAGTCCCGTACCTGTCGATCCAGACAAATCCGTCATATTATTTTGTGCATATCTGGATGCCGGAAGGTGCACTTCTTGATGAAGTTATAGATTCTATCGGAACTCTTATCTTTCATTTGGATAAATTACAAGGTAACTATCATCTTAAATTCCGCTTCTAATGGGAAAGTATCCTTTACTTTATAATGCGAAACGAATTCTTTCAGATATTCATTGTGCTGTATATCATTTATCCTTTCTTATTCCCTGTGGCCCAGAACTTTTTAATTTCGTCTATCCTCTAACAGGCTGTTTTGTAGTCAGTAAATTAATGAATAAGTAGTCAAAATAAATAGTTACTTATTATTTTTGCAAAATGATTAACTGAATCCAATAATTTGATTGATGAGGTTATTTTTCTTCTTCAATTATTCTTGCATATTTTTACTTTCAATTAATTTAATCATCTTTGAAGAAAGGACTAATCGTATTCTTTACAAATCTTATTTTATAACATTTTCTGCACTTTTTAGTCAGTTTATAATGCACAAATATTTTCAAAGCTTACATTCAAAAAAGATATTTTCACGTATGTTCAAAAATTTTTCATAACTCATCAAAATTCAATTTTCATCTAAAATTACTTTCTGAAATCTTTTATAGTTTTTTAAAATGAAATCTCCATCATGATAAATTGTATATCATTATTGAAAGAATTCTTTTCTAAGATATCAAAAATTCATTCAATTAAACTGAAAATTGTTAATTTTTAGAATTTTTGTGTACAATCTTAGCAGTTTTCAGTGAAAACATATTTTAATTAATCAAATTATATGCTACTCTGTTTTCATCTTTGAAAGAATTAAATTTATCTATTGCAAATTTTGTATTTTATTTCAATTTTGCTTGTAACGATCATTATTAGTGTAATAGTTGCCAAATTAAATGATGCATAAAAAATAACTAGTAAAAATCGAGAATTCATGAATATATTTCTATGTTTGATAAGTTATAAAATAATTATTATAGAAATATAAGAAGGTAATAAAGATGAAAATACGAGATACATGTTAATGATGCTTTCGCTCGAGGGTTACGAACAAATGAATAATAAACAAACAAATATAAATTATAAATAATTTATGTATTTTTAAAATGGAAATAATGTGAACTTTGCTTATAAATCTCGGATTTTCATCTTTATTACCTTCTTCAATAATTTTGCGATATTATATATTGCTTCGCACTTTAATAATTTTGTGATATTATACAAACGGGTAAGGTTATGACTATTGCACATCGCAGGTAGAATGCGGTTTGAATTAGTGTAACAGATTAATATACTTGAAAATTAAATTCTTATTCAAGTTTTGAGCGTTTAACGCTCCAGATAATGTGAACTTTGCTTATAAATTTTCAGCAATAAATAATCATATTTGGAATGGTTAACGATACGTTCAAAAAAATAGATGAATCCAGCGATTATTTTTCAAGTTCTCAAATTTTATTACAGTTACGTTATTACGCCCGTCATATTATTCCATGCTTTTGTGTAGTCGGAATTATTGGAAACTGTATGGCAGTAATGCTTATAAGGTATATATATTGCTTCGCACTTTAATAATTTTGCTCATACTTATCAATTTTTGAGCAAAGTTGTAAATAATTAATTTACCTTTTTTAAAAAAATATAAGAGAGTAATAAAAAAAATGGTTACATAAATAATTATATATTATAATTATAAAATAAGGAAGTAATAAAATAAAGACATGTATGTGAGCAGTAAATAATCAAATGTTGAAAATATTTGTTTAAAAAATTCTGAAAGTAGACTAATAATTCCATAATAATACTTTATCATAAGCTAAATCTGAATATTTATTCACTGAACGATAAGTTTAAAATATATGCTCTTTTTTTGAAATATTTTCATAAATACTTTCATTTATTTAAATGTAAAATAATTCACATATTAGCAAAGTTCATAATTATTTGCTCGAAACTACTCAACCATTAAGTCAAATATTTGAAATATTTTTTACTGATCTGAAGAGAAAAATGAAACTAAAAGATGAGAAAAATATAAATAAATTATATTTGAAGCATTTACTTGAAAACTTTTTCAATTTTATATTTTAAATAAAATTTATTTCCTGAAATATAAAACTTTTTTCTATCTAAGTGATTTATTTTAATCACTAAGCCTAATTTAAATGCTAAATAAAAACAGTGAGTAAAAGTTTGGATAGCCTTTTTTATTTCAAATTGTCCATTTGGATATTACTTTCATTTAGGAAATCTGAATTTGTGTTTTACTTTCAGATACTTTTTCTTGCATGAAGTAATTATTTGCTTATTTTGTTCCTAAACAAACATGAAATTTGAAAAATCTTTCAAATATTTAACTGAAAAGTTGCCTTATATAATCGTTTATTCATAGAATGAATGTGATTTAAAATAATTAGCAGAAGGTTTTTTTTAACAACCTTCAATGAATCTAATAAAATTTGGCAATAATAAGTAATGATGTCGTAGTTTACAGCAGTATCCACTTTTGAAAGCAGTAATTAATTATTCATAAAGCAAAACTTTCGTGAAAATGAATCTTATCAAAATTTGTATCCTCAATTTTCATAAAAGATTACTTTTGAAAGCCTGAAAAAAAAGAGAACTAAAATTTTATGTTGCAATTAGAAAATTTATTTCAAGGAAGCAACATACTTTTAAATAATTTTCAACTGGCGCCTTTGTTTTCTTCGTTTTT